CTTTCAGTCCCAGGTAGTGGAGATTTTATGTTGGCCATTACTTTCAGTCCCAGGTGGTGGAGAACAGTATAGTGTGTTCCATACCATGCAGTCCTTCCTTTTCAGGTGTTGGCGTCCTTGTTCCCGGTCAGTGGCCCATGCAGTCCTCCCTTTTCCTTGTCTATTGACGATGTTGAGACATTACTGTTCTTTCGGGCCAACTTCGGACTGACTCTCACAGGCTGCTCCTATCTGTCTATAGAGGTCCTCATCCACTCGGTCTTCCTGGTTGGGTGGTCTGTATCAGACCCCCACTATAAAGTCACCTGGCCCTGCCCTCCCTTTAATCCTGACCCATAAGCTCTTGGTCGGCTCCTCATCCATCCCCAGGCAGAGCTCCATGCCCTTCAGCTGGTCATTGACATAGAGGGCAACATGCTCTCCTCATCTCCCCCACCTGTCCTTCCAAAAGAGCCTGTATCCTTCCATTCCAACACTCCAGCCATAGGAGTCATCCCACCATGTCTCCATGAGGCCAAGAAGATCATAGCCCTGCAGGTGTGTGCACATCTCTAACACCTCTTGTTTATTCCCCATACTATGTGCATCAGGAGAGATCCTAGTTTATCTATGACAAAACAAGAGACAGGTCCTGAAAAACTCATAGATTTCATGTCCAGGCTCTGAGCATCTACCAAGAACTTACCCTGCACCAAAGAAACCCACAATACAAGCAACATATGCAATCTAAAGGAGACTGCATACAAAAATGACATTCAAAGACAAATTGCTCTCAGGTAACCAATGATCAGAAGATGCTGGACTTAAAGCTGTGGGGACCCTCATTCCAGTCCGCTCCCATATTTGAGTATCATTTTATAATATGGTCTTTAATTACACAATAATTATAATCTTTCCTACCAAATACTTGCTTCATGTAGTGCACAGGACTAATGAAATCGTCAAAGTCACCTCTAAACTCAGCTTCCTAAGCTCCCATCCCTTCCCTGTCCCAAGCCTAGTCGTTGTGTCTTCTGAAATTAAGGACTGCTACTCCAGCACAGATAGCAGGGAGGCAATTTACTCCAAGCTTTGGGAACAAGCTCACAGAAGGAAAGTAGCCTCCAACGCTTGCAATTTAACTGGACAATGCTCCAACCTTCAGAGAGCTGAACATTCCAGCTCCAAACAATTCACTGGATGTGGGCAAATCACAATTTTTCATAGAATCATGATTGTCCAGCTGAGAATACTTTCTCATAAACACAGCAACAGGCCTCTTCAGTCACTGCGATGGAGACCTGCAAACACTTCTCAGTGAAACTGCTGTGAATTTTTTTTTTTTTTTTTTTTAAATTTAATTAACAAAAATCCACTTCTGCTGAAACTTGTTCTCAGCACTGCCTGGACTATATCTGCCCTCAAAACACACGACATGAATGATGTCTTTGGTACAGAAATTTTCAGTCCAAGTGAAGTCTAAATGCAGCAAAGTTAAAGAAATCACAAGATTTTATAGGAATACTTAATCATACGCAACGATGTTCAGCTACGCCCATAACACTGTTCTACACAAACAATAAGACTCTCCAACACCACCACATATGCACTCTATGTTTCTCAGGCTAGGCCCATGACAGAGGTTGCGTGAGTATAGCTTGAAGGCAGAATGAAGAAGGGGTGAGGAAGTGTAAGTGAACTGTGTGTATTGTGTGCAGCTTGGAGGATTCTTGCCTTTGTTTTTGAAGTGTGGAGGAGGTCGAAAGGAGTTATTTGTGGAATCTGGAATCTGTCAGTAGGGTGACTATAATGTGGAGGCGTAATGACATGGTGAAATGATTCCCTGGATGTGTCATTTCCTTGGTTTGATGGATTTAGTGTAGGAGGGTTTCTCCCTTCAGCAACCTTAAATAACTTTCAACTGAGAATTTGGTTTCAGAAATTACATATAGTTAAGTTAAATGGTAGAGGACTACCACCGCACTACTTAAAATACAAGCTAATAAGAAATTCGATGCATTGTGATATTCTGATTTCTAGACTATTTTAATCACAGATTCTCTACTGACAGAGATTTGGAAAAAGTAGTTGTAAGAGTGGAATATGTGAAACATTCATTTAAATTTAAAAAAATTGTCTGAATGGAAGGAGGAATCTTTTAGCAATGCTCAGAGCAGCAAATATATCCACAGCAGCTTTAAGTTGCTTATTTGCTAGGCAACCTAACATGTTAGCAATTTCATTCTGTCCTAAGTAACTCAGACTAAAGCATGAACAAAACTATCTTTAAAATGAAATGGCTGCTTGTGGTTTTAGTTCACAATTCAAGTTGAAAATGAAAAAAGAACAGTAAAAAAGGCAAAAATATCATACTGAAAAATAATATGAGGTTTTGAAGGTCAGAAGTCCTAGGATCTCCTGCAACATGAAATACCTGCGAGATATATATTTCCAAATAAAAAAAGAGTCAACTTATCATTTACTACCTGCTATAATATAGGAAAAATGACAGGTTTTTTTTTTTTTTTTGGGAAATAGAAACTTGGTAAAGTATGCAGGGAAGGACTAACAACAAAGTTAAGAGATTCCATGGCAAGAGCTGTTAAAATAGCTGTCCTGAGATGGTTCCGTCCATAGTGGGGAAACTCCTTCGCAGTGTCTTAAATCTAAATAAAAGGAATTGAACTGCAGTTCCAGACATCAACATAACTGAAAAGATTGGAGAGTACTCAAAAAGGTTTCTTGTTTAAGATTGCACCCTCTGAGAATTCTCCCTTTGCAGCTCAAGCCGTAGTTGCTAAGCCTCCCTTGAACAGCAGGCAATGTTAATCATTCCAAATAGCGGTAACATTTGGCATTGGTTTTGTGATACAAATAAATGGTAACTTCACTTCATCACCTAGGACATACTGTAGATAAAACAAGCAACGTCCTTTTGAACATTCTGTCATTTTCAGCTGGTGTACAGGGGGAAGTTAAATGATCTGAAGGCAAATTAGTAGCTGTGAGAGAAATCCAGCAGTAAGATTAAGTTAGAGAAATTACCCATGGAAATAAGCACAGAGTGGGATGGGGAAAAGGAACTCTGAACACAAATAGATATAAAACCACTGTGCCAAAACATTCCATCTGAAATCAAATATCAAACGGAGATTGAAAGGAATTAAAAGAAATGTACCAGGTAGAAAAATATTAAGTTAAACATGAAAAAAATCTGTGTTGAGTTATTTTAATATTTCCATCTAATGACCAGATTTCTTGAAAAATAAAGAAATAGATGTAAAGTTTTCCACTGAGATCAGAAACAGCAGTCAATGCGAGCAAATGGCTCATCCTATTGCAGTTGTTTGGTTTGGCAACTGTTACTGTATTACCACTGGGGAAGAGTACAAACCTACCTTCACATTCACCTCTCCTGTTCATTTGGTATCCACTGTCACAATATTCACATCTATATGAGCCAACGGTATTTATACAAAAGCCTTCCCCGCAAGTATGAGGTCTTGAACATTCATCAAAATCTGCAGATGAAAAAGAGAAGTTAAGAGAAACTTTGCTTCACCATGAAATTACTGAATGCTTTAATTAAACATAAGTAAGTTTGGAATTTTGAAGCTGTTTGCAAGCCACAGCCCCATAGCTTTTCTTTCTGAGTAGTTACATCTTTACCTCACTGCTTGTAATCGCAGAGAGAAGGAGATCTAGAAACAACCAGGCTGTAGGAAGAAGGCCAGCGAGCAGCCCTGTGGTTGCAAACAAAATGTGTGTCACTGCATGTATATTGTGCCCAAGGCAGCGCTAACCTGAGGAAGGTCACAGCCGATTCAGGTTGTTTGTGTTGCTCTGCAAAGTCCATGGCTGTTTGCAGTTATATTAAAAAATATGGTTTGTTACTGCTGCTAGTGATTGAAAGAGTTTTGAATACTTGTATTTTCCACCAGAGAAGGTGTTTTTACTAAATGGTAATTTTTCTAAACAAGTATGATACTGAATAAATTCTTGCTTTTCAACAAATCATCATTTTGAAAAGTAGTAGGAGCTACTCAAATATTTTCCTCACCACAATACCTGGTGAGAGACAGTTAAAAACACTTGAAGACATCAGTCCAGTACCAATGACAATAAGGAAAAAAGCTGAAAAAAGGGACTTTAGGGGATTCTAGATAAGCTTCTTGATTAATTTTTTATTTTTATTTTCTATAAAGGAGACCAGTAATTACCAACGCAATCGGTTCCATCTTCACTGGCCATGAATCCAGCTTGGCAAATACATAGGAAACTTCCTTCTGTATTTTCACAGCGTCCAAGGGAACACAGATGGGGTGCCTGATTACACTCATTAATATCTATGAAAGAAATAGAAACATAAGACTACAGAATAACATATTTAGTTGCGATTCTTTTTGTGCATTCTATGCCGTACTTTTGAAAAGAGTGATCTTGTAATTATTCGAATTATTTGAAAAAGTACATGTTTTCCTCTCCCTCAGAGCTGTGAAAGAGATGCATTAAATAGTTTTGGTTGGAAAAAAATGCCCTTATTGGCTTAGACTGTAAGAATATTGCATTGGCCTGTAGAACGTGACATGACTACTATTCAAATCACTACATTGAGTGCAAGCTGAGCACAAGCTGCAAACGTGGAACATTAATACAACTTGGATGTAATAGAAGGATTTTAAGTTGCCATTTGGCTATGTGCGTAAATTATTTTTTAATATCGTAGTTGCACCTGATAGCATGTGTATCAGTGTGACGTTACTGAACTTGCAGTAGTATGAAAAGTTCATAGTATATAACCCAGCAACATGATATAACGAACTCTTTCTGATCCAAGTTACAGAGGAACCAGCATAATCTGAATGAAGGAAAGATACCGATACAGCTGCTTCCAAATCTGAAATAGCTCACGTGGAGTCAGTCTAGGCTCTGTCTCATGCTCATTAGAGCCCTCCGTTTCAGAACTTACTAGCTTAGAGGGGATGGAGACCTCGCTTTGCAGATCTCCTAATGTGCTTCTGGGATGTTTACGATATATTTTCTCTTTTCAGCAGAAGGTTGAAAGGAAAGGTCTAAAAAAGTGACTGGATTTAGTCCAGCTGCAGAGCTGGTAGCTGGGTAAACCATTCTGAGAAACAGGCACTAATTCAGCCATTCTTTCTCCAAACAGAAGTGTATTTCTTCCTAGCAGTCTGGCGATTTTCGACCCCTGATACAAAGCTGTGAAGAGATGGTCTATCTAATCACTTTTTCTCTCATCTCACAATGGGAAAGGCTTTCATTCAATTTAATTAAATTCACATTCAGTTCTGTGCGGCTGAAAGGGTGTATCAGTGAACAGCTTGCAAATTTTGTTTGACATACAGAAACTAGTTTCTGCATAGTTTGGAGGCATTCAGTAGAGGAAGCAACTCCTGACTGCTCTGTAGCATATTTCCTCTGACCAGACTACATTTCAAGCATTTCATAACATGGTTATTTCAGATTTTTGAAAGCGTCCATTCATACCAGAGCACTTTGTCTGCTGATCGTTAAGTTCGTACCCCTCGTAGCAGATGCACGTGTATCCCACAGGCAAATTAACACAGTGTCCTGCTCCACAGATATCAGGATTAACTGTACATTCATTGATTTCTAAGCAAACAAAAAAAAGTTTAATGTTAAACTCTCCCACGTAGTTCAGTAAGCGCACAATATTCAATTTCCAAGTAGAAAGATCAGGCCTGAAAACAACTGTAAATCAAGTTTGTAAATCCTGAGTTTCTGTAATGGATATCTGGAAGAATTTAGAAACCATTTAGGCTCTTCCTAGTGACATTGTCATGTCCCATCCAAGATCTATAAACGGGTACATAAAAAATACAGTAAAGCGAAGATAATGTAAAATAAAAATGTATACGATTTAACCTTTGCAGCAAAGGTTAAGAAAATAACTGTAGTGAGTTTCTGATTATTTTTACAGAATACCAATCTGTTAATGGCTTGGATGTACTTTGTAAGATAAGGAGATTCAGATATGGGCAGCATTGGATGCTAAACCCTTACAGTACTTTTAGAAATTCTCAAAGTATATGTGTTACTGCAAAGAATACCAACGACTGTGTTTAGCTGCAATTTAAACTAAGGTTATACAGAAGCATGGAATCACAATGTAAAGAAGAATCATCAGGCTGCCCAGAGAAGCGGTGGAGTCTCCATCCCTGGAAGCATTTAAAAGGCATGTAGATGTGGTGCTCAGAGACATGGTTTAGTGGTGGGCTTGGCTATGCCAGGTTTATGGTTGGACTCGATGATCTTAAAGGTCCTTTCCAACCCAAACGATTCTATGATTTATCCAGACTATTTAGAAATAGGTTACATTTAAATTTAACTAGATCTTAAAGTACAGAATTAAGGCACTCAAAAACTTCTCAACTCTAACCGCATTCAGTTTTTTAAATCCAACTTAGGATTTTGTCCTACAAATCTTACTTCACTTGTACTTTACTACCTTTTAAATATCTGAATAACAGATTGATTTATTTGTTTATAGCACACAGCAATTTCTAGTTCTACTGCTTTTGCTGAGGAAAGAAAAACCAGCAGAAAATGGAAAACTACCATTTTTTTTCTAACCGATGTAAGTTCCCAGCAGGGTAACTTCCTCCCCCTGTAAGGGAGCTGGTTGGCAGAAGGGGCATAGTCACAGGAGAACTAACTTCTAGATTCTGGTTTGACAATCACCATTAGTAGAACTTTCACATGGGACTGACGAACTGTAATTATAGGTAACTGAAGGAGGCTGCTGAATGCTTACAGGATACAGAAGGACAGGATACTTTCTCTACTCTTATAGTAGATTCAAGAGGATTTAACTGCTGACAGAACTACTGTACTTCAAACAACTGGGCGATTTAGACCTCGTGCATGTTGCATGCAACTCAAAACCCCATTCCTGAATGAAGGGAGGCCATCTTTGAAGAGTCAAACTTTTATGACAGCATGTGCAATTTCTCCCTGTGACTGCAAACTGGCAAACCTCTTAGTAGGCCTAGATATCACTACCATATACAATACTGCATCTTAAAATATTTACCTGGATATTGCAATTACTTCAAAGCCTGTGTTAATTCTGAGAGACTAGCCAATGTGACATTGTAATGCTCTCATGTATACACACATAGTACATTCATCTTTTTGTTTTCAAATTTACAGCAAGGGAGATATTCGTGCCTTTTGGACACAGGCATCACTTAGACAAGTTTCAGCTATGACAGGAGCTTTACTTGCATTTCTGTTATTTTCACTTCTTGACACATAGATGTAGAAAAAGGCAACTTTAATATATCAAAAAAGGAAGAAGCACAAACATCAAAAGAACATTTCAAAACAGATCTTACAGTAACTCCTCATCTGCTTTTTGTAGAACATGCTGATCTACATCCCACAAAGTCTCAAAGAACATGATCACATATACTTCATGAACACATGTGCAGACTGTCTAAAGACATGATTTGTATCCAAGAAGTCTTCAGTTCTGGACTTTGGTTGCAGATCATGTAATCTGAGCTGGAATTATTAACTTCTCCTTCTAACATTTATTTGTGGGCACAAAAATGGCAGGTACATCCTGGCAGGGCCGAGTCCTGGCTCTGCTGACAGTACCCTCATTGCTGTGTTGTTCTGCACTTTCTATCTCTCCCCAGAGTATTCCTTTCCTTTCTACAGCTACATTCTCTTCGCTGTTACAATTCAGAAGCAGCATGGAACAAGTTATAGTGTCAGGAACTCACAGTCATTTCTTAATTTATTTTAGTTCTAAAAAGGAAGTACAATACCTGTAACTTGAGTAGGTGCAATTACTTGACTTGCACTCGAAGTGGAGACTTCAGGAGCAACTTCAACAGGCAGAGGAGGAGATGTTTTCTCAATCACTACTGTGTGACATGGAATGGAAATCAATCACATCCAAAAAAAACCCCAATCCTTAAAGCATTCAAAAAAAAAAAAAACCCCTTAAAGAATTCACACATGATACTGAATGAGCCAGACACCATGGAGCTTTTTGTTAGTTTATTCTGCTTAGATTTGGAGCAGAAAAAAAATTGTATAATTGGGTTTTCCATCTTTCTACTGCTTGTGAAAACAACTAAGGTGCTAAAGAAAGCAAGCACAACAGTAAAACATTTGCAGCAGAAGTTATGCGTAAATCCTCAAGGAGACATCAAATTAAAGTCTCCTGTTGAAAGGGGTACAAGGCCTAAACTCTGCTGACATTAAAAGTCTCATGTACGTAACTCAGAATATCACTTTTGCCTAAGATATGTCTTTGCCTCCTAACAAGTCACCTAGCCAATGCCAACCTCTTAATTCTTCCCACTTCAGCTTCCATGATTTTTTTTTTCCTATTGGAAAAATTGCTGGTGAAACTGCAATCAATTTTTCATTAACCTCTGTTACAATTGCTACCTTCCCATTCTTTGAAGAATTGTAAGCATTCTCTCATACTAACAGACAAGTCAAAACACATTACCTGGAAACTGTGGATGCAGGTTAATTGTTGAAATTCCAGGAGAAAGCTGAGGCTGCCCAGGCTCTAGATAAGGCTGCTTTTCTTGATCAAGGGAAGCCAATTCCTAAAAGAATGATCAAAAATTTACATTCTGAAAACATTCTCTTAATTCAGCTATCATAACAACCCACAAACTCCCGGCTTGAGAAACTGCTAACATTCTCATATGAGCGGCTTTTGATAGCAGATCATTAATTACCACCAATTTAAGTCCGAAAGAACACCGAATACTATGTTTGAACAATGGCATACAATTTAACATTGATTTTATTTGAAGCAGCCATTTCATTGAGCTTCTTTGTCCCTTGGCTTTATCCCTTCATAGTTCTCCCATCCTCTGGTCTTTAATCGCTTACGGAGAGTATTTAATTGCAGTTCAACATCACACAAAAGTATACAATCATATATGTCTCTAAGTCTTTGACCACTGTGAAAGGTTCTCTCTTAGATATTGCAGTGATGATCTTATTTTCATGAAAGTGTTAGATGCTTGCAAGTCTTTAGAAAAAGGAAATGAGGTACAGCTGCAGTTATTCCTAACAAATCCCATTATCTTCAGCATAGAGAACCTGGAACCACCAGAATGGGGGACCTAACACAGATACAAACTTGCTCTTCTCCACTGAATACACAGCAACCCTAAAAAACCTAGGAAACTAAGGCATTAATACAAGTCTCTTAAGCAGGTGTCACAAATGCTTCTGAAAGTTTCATACTGTTTCTCTCCAATTCGTTTTCTCTAGCTGTCAGTATCTGTGGCTCTCCTTCATACTGGCTGCATTTTTCAATATCTTCTTAAACTACAGGCTCCAGAATGGGACAGATGAGTATAGTACTAGACCCTCCACCAACGCCCTAAAGAGAGGTTAAAGTAATCTCTTTCCTGTACCTCGCTACCTGCCTGTTGTTGTACATAACAATAACATGAGCTCTTTTTTGCCTTGGGGTTTGCACTGTAAGTCCACAGTGAGTTGTTTGTTCCTCATAAATCCTAAATCCTTCTCAGAGACACTGTATCACATCTCGTACACATGGTCTGCATTCTAATTCCCAGATAAATCACATCGTGTTTTACCTGATCAGGGGCTGCAGTTGCCACTAAAACCAGAAAAAAAAAAATAAATTAATCAGTTTTCACATAACATTTACTTACACATTCTATTTAAACTACTAGCACGTTGGAAAGTGGTTGTTGCCATTGTAGAAAAATTTCAGGCTCTAACCTCATTCCAAAATGGTGCAAACTTGAAGTAAAGATCCTGAAGCAAGCACAAAAACTAACCTGAAACCAGAATAAGATTCTACACACTGACCAATGCTTATAATTATTTACTCAGTATTTAGCTGCCTTATAGATTTCTCAATTGTTTAACTGTTTCCTTAGAAATAATCCAAGAAACTCCCAGTTTATTAACTCACTGATTAAACTTCTTTAATTCCTTCCAAGGAATATCAACATCTGTAATTATTTTAAAGGTAAATTAATATCGTGATGATACACAACTAGCGATTAACAGATATGCAAGAATACATTGCTTAAAAAAAAAGAATCAAGTTTTGAAATTTCTCTTTTCTTTCAGCAAGCAAAAGTGGTGTTTTGTTTGTTTTTTTTTCCCCTCCACAAAAGTGACTTTTTCCTGTGAAGGAGAGATAGAAAATTCATAGAAGTTTTTCTTTTCCATTGCAGTTTGCCTTTTTTGAATTAGTCTTTTACTGATGAAAATCTACATGCTTCTGTAAAAAACTAATTTTCTTCTCACAATCAACATTTTCGACAGGATAGATTTTTTTTTTTTTTTTTAAAAAAAGTACTCTTCTTGCCCTGGTTTCTTCAGTATTAGGGGGAATGACGATTATCAGAACTGGGAGAACTTCTTATAATATCTCAAAAATTCCAAATGCAAACATACCCAAAAATGGAATACAAAATTCAAACATGTATACATGTCATTACGGACTTACAGTAAGCATATTTTTAAAAGCTTTTTATTTAAAAAAAATAATTCCTTTTATTCTCCAGATTGTCTGTGTTTTAAGATTTACGAGAATGTGGTAATCTTTCTAACTACTGAAGTAATATTTTAACAAACAACCCACCACTTTCTTCCACTTTGTAACACAGAAAAGCCCAGAGGTTTATGTGAGATTTTATAATCCAGCAGAGTCTGTAAGTATACTTGAATGACTTGTTTTTCTCTTCAGATTCAGTTTAGCTCCGTTTTCTTTTTGAAAGCAAAACTGGAGCAGTATTTTTAACTGGAAAGTAACCCATGTTGCACAGAATTTTGCGAAGTCAGCTGACTGAAACTCTTTCTAATAATGGTCTGACATAGAGATACATAACTGCTATTTGGAAATAACCTATTAAATACTCAATATCATGAGAGGGTTCTTCAGCAATGTGCGTCTTGTCTGCAGTTAGTTCATGCCAAGTTTGCTGGCAATGTATTTATAATAGTGCCGCTTTCTGTATGTCCTTGTTTCTGCATTTGTTTTAGACTCAGGACAATTTTGGCTGCTACAAGTTCTTAGAGGAGCTTCAGGAAAACAAAATCTGAGAAAAATATCTTAGAGGAGTCAACTAATGACTAACAAGAGCCCAGCAGAGAGGGGCTGATCCAACATGGTCCTGCCGAGGGAGCGCACAGCAGAGCACATGAAGGGGATGCTGGCCCACGTCAGGTGGTGCTAATCTACAGGAGTGTACAGAAGGAAGATGAAGAAAATCCCTTAGCTTCTGTCACCCCAAAGACTAGTAAATCAAAGCCTGAGTTGAGTCCTTTGTATATGTTAGAGATTATAAATATCTTTATAAAAGTCTTACAACAAGCATTGACTATTTCTTATCATAAAAATGAATGAGATTAAAGCAGTCTCTCCCTCTCTCCATGGTGTTCTCAGCATCTAGTAGAAGCTATACATAAAATTTCCGAAGTAAATCATGTAACACAACACACTCCATGACCTGGAACACTCTGCTGCGGGAAGTGGTGCCTCTCTGTCCTGCACCGTACCCAGCCACTCCACAAAGAAACATACTATTGAAGACACATGCACAGAAATATAGAAAGACTAAATTTTTCCACTCTCACCTTCTTGTACAGCCATCTCAGTCTCACTTTTCTGTGAGAAGGTCAGTGCCTCCACTGGCTCTTCCTTTGCTGGGAGAGGTGGAGGAGAAGTACCTTTAGCAACAGGTTGAGTAATCGGGGTCTTGCCAATGACAGGTGGCTGTACTCTAACTGCAGGGTGATGATATAGCTTGTTTCTGTGAGGGCCAGAAACCGTATAACCCATTCCACCAGGGCAGATTTCCTTAAAAGCAGCTAGATTTGGGATGGGAAAATATTCCTTTTAGGAGTCTAAAAGTGCAATATGTTGACATAGTGGAAAATATAATGACTACCACTAATAATTTAATCTTATATTGTATATACATTTTTACAAAAAACTACTTAAAGACAAGCTATGCATTGCATGCTAATATGACTGAGCATTCTTCCAAAAGCATGTTCTGGCCGTTATTCCCGGGAGGTTTCCACTCCAGTTTACCATCTTTCTTCAGTTATGTTTAATCTATCATTATATCAAGATAATTTTTTGTGTTAATCCTCTTCAAACAGTGTATCCTTTCTAAGTACAAATTTAAATATGCAAATTATCATCATCATCTACATTGCATAAGGAATGAAATCACTATTTCTATCATTCTCTTTTTGCAGAAACCAAAGGAATAAAGCTCACCACTCCTGTACTAGAGGAGCAGAAGAATATCAACCAGTAACAACGTTCATTCACAGGATCCCATTTGACTACATCAGAGTCTCATACCAGCCCTGATCCAAATTCCACTGAACTGAATAAGTCTTTCCACTGACCTCAGTGGGCTGGATAAAAACAAGATGGGGATCATAAAAAGCCAAATCACCACTGGAAGAGGGGGGAAATAATCTCATTTATAAAGCTGCTACAGAAAAATGTAATGAAAGTCAGGCAGCAGCACCTGCTCTGATCTCTGCAGCTGCTCTACATGAGCATCAGGTTTTGCAGTCCTAGTGGAAGACTAGGATGACAAAGAAATACAGGCCAGCCTTCCTCCTCATCAAAGATAATAGCTGTGCTGTCAGGGACAGGGAGACCTTCAGGAGTCTTGAGAGGGCAGTGCTTCATTGTCCTCACTGCTCTAGGTAAAGTTACATTGGGATGAAACATCAAGGATTTAGTCTCCCATGTGCCTGACGGGATTTCTTAACAGCTTCTTAAGAGATGTGCGGAGTGGGGCACTGGGAAGTTCACAAATTCTGCTTTGTACACATCAGGGTTTTAAAATGAATTAGCATCTAAAATAAAAACACAAAATACTAGCTATAGGTGCTCCACAGGTGAATTCATTAAATTATATATTAAATTGTAATATGCATTAATTGCATACTGCGTTTTGATGATAATACAATGGTTTTGATGGTAACACAAAAGACGAAGGATCAAATTGATTAAATTGAGTGGATTCAGAATGATCAAATATGTTTTGTTGGGAAATATCAGTATCAAAACTTGCCACAAAAACACCCAACTGAGGGTGGGAATTCTGGTCAAAGGAGGAAGACAGAAAGTTTGACGCCTGTCCCTTCAGATACATACTCAGGATGTAGGAAATCTTGTTTCAGGTCATATTCTCTCAAATACAGAATAGAAATGTAAGCCTTATTCTACGAGAGCTCTAATGAGTGCTCTCAACACCTGGGTATAAAAGCTGGCCTCTCAGTCTCTCTTTTGGAGTGGGTCTACTTTGTATAAATATTTTAAAAGCTATCAGAGATTGAGACCATGACTTTTTAATTCAACGACTCTTAAATTAACATGGGATGCTGCAGTTAATACATTACCCCATTCTGGAGTATCCCACTTTCACACATTTTTCATAGAAAACTCTGAAAGATTATGAATTTAACCTGTTATAGAAAGGAACATGTTTTTAAATCATGAAAGTTGTCATGAAATGGGAAAAGTGTTTCCCACACAGCTCATCAGAATTTTCTACCCACAGATTTTCTCTCTGAAGTCTTTTCATTAACCAAAAAAAAAAAAATCACTAAAATAACCAATTCTACATAATATTCAATGATTTTTTTTTTTTTATGACTAGAGAGCAGGCAACAGAAAGATATATTCTCTGCTCCAGAATACACACAATTGGGCATAAGGCCTCATGCAATATTCTCATAGATGTAAAACATATGCATTTAAATTGCGAGTCATCTGATGAGAATAAGGTATTTTTCCATTAAAAACCCATAGAAATATTATTTATCTGAAAGTGAACTAGACTCTTAAAATCCTAATTGGTGATGTAGCAACCCAATGGTCATGTAGGAAGCAATGGTTTTAAAAATCAATTGAAATGCTAAAAAATGTTGGTCACTTCCATTTCTGTAAGCTCAACTTAAAAAAGTAGCGAATGTGCTGCTCTCAACATGTCTCTGATGCTAGCTGTGCATTTCCCAAAGCAGCTAGCTCGTTTTGAAAATCTGAATCTTTATAAAATACTCCAAGAGAAATACAAAACCTAAGTTGTAACAGTGACATCTGCAGCAGCGACTTCAGTAGGAACAGGGGATTACTATTACAAGTATCTGTGCTAAAATAGCAGGCTGGACATCATGCATATTACAATAAGCAATGATGCTTTAAAAAAAGATGAATTTGAGCAGACATTTGGATAAAAAATAATCTTCAATTGATGTTGACTAAAGACTCCAACTTCGGTCATTTAAGTTTTAAGCAAAATCGAGGAATAGAAGGTACTCGAAAGCAGTGATCAGTTTCTATAATATGTGTTATCTTAATCTGTGAGCAGCCTAAATGAGGGTGGTGACCAACCAAGCCGGTATTTTCCAAGTCCTTATACATTTAAAAACCAGCAGGACTCCAAGTTAACACTGACAATACAAGTGAGCTTTATGTATCAAGTAAGGGATTAAGTGAAGGGTGGCATGAAATGTTTAACTATCGGTTTATTGTTAAGAAGGCAAGACCATACTTAGCATGTTCCTCAAAATGGATGGTATAACATGAAGGAAGGTTAGAAAGCAGATACTCCTATACATATCCCACTAACTGTATCGTAAACTACAACACATGCCGTTCTGTAACATAATCCTCAAAAGCTGCCATCTTTTCACCGATGCCTTTAACAACTTAAAAGTATTCATTAGATTTTGGATTAAAGTGCTTGTAACTATAGTCAGAATATAATGTACAATAAATTTATTTTCCTGTGATGGAGAATCAAAGTTCAAGGACATATTTTGAGATCCAAATATTGTTAATCTGGAATTCTATCACAACATATCAAAGATAATTCCTTTGTTTTAATCACAAATCCCTATGAACAAAACTGCTATATATGTGATTATTCTAATATCATGTAGAGAATTGTCATAATTTACTGATGGACACTTCTTGTTTAAAATAATTCTTGGATTTTTATTTTTTTTTTTAAAGCATGCACAACAAACGCAGGGTGGGGGCAAGAGCTTGTATTTTTAATGGGTAGTTCTTACCTGTTCCTGGAAGCGGACACTTCTCGCAGTGCGGGCCCCAGGCTTTGCCAACACTGCAACAGCAAAGCTGCTTGCTGAGCTGAACAGAGAGAGGATGCATGCATTGCTTTCCTGCACTAACAAACCGGTAGCAGGGTCCTTTCTCTTCAGCAACTATAGGATTATCAGCTGTAATGAAAGCAGAAGAGAGGATGGTACTGTTCACATGAAAAGCAAAACAGAGAAACACCACTAGATTTCCAACACCAGTTAAATGAATTAATATTACCATCTGCAGAAGTTTTATTTCAAACACCTCTCTCAAGCCATAACAACATAAAAGAAAATTCTTATTTTGCACAAAACACTCCTGAATTCCAACATAACCGAGACAAAGGATAAAACGTATTTTAAAGAAAAAAAAATAATTTCCAAACCAGCAGTTGCCATGCTGCCACAATAAAGAGTCAGAATCAGCTCTCTCACTTGTACACAAGTCCAACTGCTGAGGACTAAGGTCAATCGCCAGCAACATACAGCCGTGTCAAGCTACATAGCCACTGGAACATTCAGCTGTAAGCAGCCTATACAAGCAAGACTGCAAGAGGATTAAGTATCATGCATGACCCTTTTTTAATAAAAGAAACAATTATACATTTACAGTTTGTTATGCTTAGTTTTAATGGGGAAGAGCCAAAGGCCATAAGCCATGAGGTGACAAGAAGCTAAGATCCATCCAGCTTTTTAATTTATGCATCCACATTAACATACAGTTAACAGTTCCGGGTAATATGTTCACTTAACTCAAAAAATACAAAGACTATCTGATTTTCAACACGACATGTAAAAGTAAAAATGAAAACCAACTCATTTTTTCTCGTATTAAACTGAAAAGTGGTAAGAAATTCTTCAAAATGCTGAAAAACTTTATTGGTAATTGAGTGTCACTAACTAGTAGCATAAGATAATTTTACTGAAAAAATGAAGGAATTCACCTATGGCTCTAGACTATATTTTATAAATCTAAAGACAGCTCATATAAGGAGCTTAGGAAAGGAGGTATTTTTCACTTGTAAATATTCTTCACAAAAAAATTAAAGTGAGAGATTCAGTTGTTCTCTGTGTCTTCTCTTCTTCTTGCAGAGGTAGCCACTCTCAAACAAAGTAAAAGCCGATTAACAGAGGAAAATATTTGCATTCATGCTGTTCACAACTTTTTCTTTCTCCTAATTCTTTCTTAATTTTTAATCCTTCTTAATCAGAAGGAAAATGTGCCAAAGATCATCCTGGGCTGAATGTTTAGTAATGGAAACTACCCAGGTCAAAGCTGAAGAGGTGGAATAAGGGGAGAGAAGGACACAAAGATGGTTTTGGCTAAGGAGCTAGCAAAGAGGGGAAAAAAAATTTGTGGGAATGAGAACTCCAGGCTGGTGAGAAAGACTGAGCCGATGAGGAGGCTGGGTGTGGCCCTGGAGGTTTTGTGACAAGAAAACCAGGAAAAGATGGCAAGGATCCTGGATAGCCATTGGTGGAGACCAAGGCTTCCAGGACAAAGAGACAGAAAAGAGAGGCATGAGCACTGAGAGTGACTAAATAAAGTGAATAAGCCAAGGAGGCAGGGACAGCAAAAAAGCAGGGACAGCAAAAAAGCCAGGGACAGCTCAGAAGAGTTGGGGCTAGTCAAATAAATCCTCATCTAAAGTGCAACCAAGTATCTATTTTGGAACTTTGGTTAGCACAATTACTTACGTATGCATCTTGAGAGGGTAGGATCTGGCACAAATCCCATTTTGCAGGTACATCTGTAGCTGCCCATGGTATTCAAGCACTCACCATTAGGACATACTCCCTGTAACTGGCACTCATTGATATCTGGGAAAATTGAAAATCATCAGATACTGAAACATGTATTAATATTCTTCTTTCTTCAGAAGTTATCATCTTTTTTAAAATATGTGCTGGAGAACTGTTATGAGTTAACACTCCAATCAACACTTCTTCCCCTACTGACAACATTTCATTTAGAAACTTTTAAAACACTGCTGAGAACATAACAGAAAAGTAATTACATTTATACATCATTCTCAAGTAGCCTGAATTAAAAAACAAATACACTTTGACTGACTTATCAACCCCTCTTCTCCTGACTAGATGATCGATTGCGCAAAGACAACTCACAAGAACAGTCATGGAGACAAGTTTTAAGCCACGTAGTATATTTTATACAGGATAGAACACTGCTTGACACATTTAATACAGTTTTTATTACTGTTTGTATTCAGTACTGCCTGAAGGTTCATTGTGCTGGAAGAAGTAGAACGCAAAAATACCACCTCTAGCCTAAAGAGCTTACCATCTTAATGGCAAGAATATGCTTCAGGAAGCACAGAACACATGTGATGTGGGGCGAAAAGGACTGCATCCGTGGGAACACAACTTTGTAATAATTAACAACTGCTTTGATAAAGTTTGCTGTTACTAGCCTACCTGCACCAGTGTCCTTTCAGAGTCTCACTGAATTATTCTCCCATGGCCCAAGCATTGGGCCTCACGCCTTTATCGCACTTGAGGTTGTATCTATAATTCACTTACTCTTAGAATAGGACCTGTCTGACAATCATCTGGATACCATTTGTAACTAAGTCAGCCAAACCAGGATTTTATTTCAGGAGACAGTAACAATGTAGCTTGCACTGATAATCAAAACCTTATAATAATAAAAAAATAATAATAACCCCCCCAACCTATTATTGTCTCTGTCATAAATTGTCATGTCTGCTTGTTCAGAAAAATAGAGACAGCACATTGAAACAGACCTACTTTAAAACGTTTACGTGCCTTATTTCTATGTAAGACTTTCCCTCCCTATCCCTAAGCTAGGAAAAAATGCCTACCTCGCTGGGTAAACAAGCTTCAAGTGGAAGTCAGATATTCCAGCTAGCTCCTTGGAAATCAGGTAATTGTGATCATTTTATCTAAAATATACAACATTTATTACCCTTCCTCTTAGTTTTTATAAAACCTTCACCATTTTATTTGACCTCATTGTATGTTGCTGCCTGATTCAACACAATCAATGACAGTCAGAAGTTGAATATGTAAAATACAACAGATGTGCTGGAGTTTGCTTCTGAAAATGTACAGAAAGTGTCTTTCAGGTTCCTCCTTTCCTCTTGATTTTTCTCCACAACTTTGGCTACCTGTCCCACTACACAGGAGCACATGACTTAAGTTCCAGTACAGCAGACTTTAGCAGTTGCCATCTCAGCTGTGATTTTTTCCAAATATTCAATGTTGAGCCTATCCGTCAGCTCTCCCAATGCTGTACCTATTCTAGTATCTTGACACCACCTGGATCAACTTCACCTCTACGCACTCAGCCACACATGACAAAGAGTGGTAATTTATATCCTAGAACTTTGGATGAAATGTGATGGAAACCACATGAATTACAAAGGATCAGCTCTGCCTCAAAGGAATTTTCCAGTGAAATTCCCAGACTACATGACTTTCTGACCTCAGAGGGAGTGGACTATTTAAAAAGGAGAATGGTATGAGAAAAGAGCACAAAAACCAGCTGAAATATTCTCCTGCAGCAGTCTGCCTTTTGACTCATCCCATCTCTGAGCAGGAAGATGTCCCATATAAACTCAGAAGTATCTTATTTAAGGATTGCCCTAAAACAGAACATTGAGTAAGCTAGACTTGTTCTGATGCACTCGAAAATTTTTTAGACAGTTTCTTCAGTTGCTCAGTCTGACTGGGTTCTTTCTTTTGCCCTGAAATCTCAAAATATGATTGAAGGCATCTATAGAGTGTCAACTGATCCCAAAAGGAAGGTCTTCGTTGTTTCAATCCCATTATCTTTTGTGACTATTGCAAGGAATGAACATAAATCTTAACAGCTAGCAAACTAAAGACATTATTGAAACATCCCTAAATAGAAACATATCGATGCTGTTGTAGAGTAGTGGGGAGAAAAGGACATACCGCTAACCCTCCACTTTCAAACATCAGGCACACCAAGGAACATAACAGAAGACTATGAAATACCTAGAAGCTAATACAAAGCAATTACTGGAACACTCAAGAACTCACTATTGAATTTTCCACCTGTTGGCAATTTGGGTTGTCAGATCAGTCCTCAAATGCTAAACCATGAAACAATTCTACTTGCTTTGATGAAGCACTGACTTTGTTGTCAGAAACAAGTTAGAGGAAGAGACAGTATGCTTTACCCTGAATACAGGAAAAATCTCGGTATCTGGGTTCGTTTCAAAATGAAAATCCTCAACACAATTACACAAATACACAAATTACAGACACACACAGAGCACATACAGATTTTGGAGACAAAGGAAGACATAGGACAAATTAAGAGATGGAAAAAAGATACTACCAAAAATTAAAACTTAAGATACATATTTTAAACAAGGATTGTGCTCTTTTATTCTAATCTGACTTTCGCTTTTTATCATTTATTACATGTTACTCATTGGTGTTGACATTTGTACATATAGTGAAAATAATTGCTCACTTTCTACACTGTAATTGCCAGACATTTTTAAACAACAATTTTACTATTGTTTGCCTCAAGCTTCATTTTAAGGAATGTTAAAAATCTATGTATGGATCAAATTTATTATTTGAATACTGAAAGTATATAGGCATGTAAAAAAAAAAGAAAAGTAAAATCCTGCAAAGAGACAGATAGATAAAAATAGAAACAAAATTTTATGAAACCTGCTTTCTAACTTGAATTTGACTAGTTTTATTCACAACACTATTATCTGTACTACTCAAACAAATCATATTTTTTAAGTTTGTAGAACTACATCTGTATGTTGTAGAAGATAAAAATGGTGTTTGTTGTTACAATTCTCAAGCAGTTTTTCAACTTGAATAACTTAGCCACTGAACTGAAAAGCATATATATATATATATTTACTGTGAAGAATTTTTTTCAATTCTGTTCTGCAGAAGGGGGTATAAAATCTGGCTTTGTATTTAAGCAAATTCTAGTTACAGGTTACAGACTTCAACCAGCTGAGTGATCTTGAATACCTAGTAGCAAAACTGTGCTATTTGGATTTTATAATGAAAATTGTGACATAGCTTATACTTAAGTCTTTGTATAGACAAACTGAAATTGTGAATTTTAAAGTAAACTGAATTTAAATATAATCTAAATAGAAATTACAGACATTTTTACAGATCTGGACTTTATTCATGTCACTGCTGAGAAAAACTGGCACAGGAATGTATTGGACACTTTTGGTAACACTGGGAGAATCCTGGTTTAGTGTTTTGCCTACTAATAGCAAAGGTTTCATGGCATTATTTACTAAAGTGGCTAATTTGCAGGTACAGGGGATCTTCCTATAATTCATCAATACACAGTCCTCTTTCTTTCCAAATGGTTCATCTATTCTGCAGGAAACATTCACAGATGCCATCATTACTGCCTCTGTATTAAATCTCTTCCCAGATGAGCTGTTCTTGTACATCTAGTATTTAAAAATACAACACCCATTCACATGTACGCTGTTATTGCTATTTAATGTGGGCACTGCTACATTTATGTACTGGCTTATATCTATGCAAATACCAATGAATGTTCCTTCTAGAGTTCCTGATATGGATTATTCATCTTGCTAAATTTGTCCAGTTTTTAAAGTTGACTTTATTGTGCATGTTCTGATGCCTCAGCATGACTTAATTATAATGTATTTTTAATGCTTCTTTTCCAAATCACGTCCTCTCAATGAGCTCAGAGAATTACTGACCTGATGCTGTATGCTGAATTACGCAAGGCTATCTAGGGATCCAACAGAAACAAGCCACAAGTTGATTAAAAAAAAAGCACAGCCTTCCAATTTTCAAAAGAAACACACACACGTAAGAATAGTGTTTATTTAAAAACTTTGGGTAAAAAAAAAAAAGAAAAGTAAAGCCTTCCACATTTACTATCTACTTCATTTTATTTCAGACTGTGGTAAAAGGCCGCCTACCCAAAATGTTTCCAACCACCTGCCAGTCTGCCCAGCTGTGCAAATTGCACTGGAATCAACTTGATCAGGCAGCTGGAAAAGAAATCTGATTCAAGACTAACAAACTTTTAAAAATTATTTTTAGCCTTCTATTTCTTGTCTATGGGCATAAAAGATATTTGTTTTAAATTGGTATAGCAATGAGAATTCGTTTCCTCCATTGTAAAAACTAGAGAAAAAGCTACTGTAAAGTTGTCTGAATAATCTTTTGTTGTGCAGAAGTACAAACTGATGACATGCTCGTAGAGTGATTTGATCAAACACCTTCATATACAGAGAGGAAATATTTCAAGGGGCTATGCAGCAGTACTATAAAACCATACATATGTAAATAAAGCTTTCTAAGGACCACCTAGATATTAATTTTCAGTTTTCAAGGAAAACAGAATAATGAAGTTCCACTGGTAGAAAGCCCCTGCATTAATGATACATTAAAAAAAACATTAAGCAAGGAGTTTTGCCACACAGAACCTTGCATGGCTCCAGAGCAAACTCTGGCAGTAGGTGCTGTTATTTATAGTTTATAAAGAACCGGTAAACAAAGCATTGATTTTGTAATAGTTGGTGCTTGAGAATGTGAATGACTTGAGTCTTCTTAATGGTAATAAACTGGTGTAACCCCACTGGCAAGAAAGACGCGTTGTCATTTCGCACTGACTGACTGACAGCCTGACCCTTTGCTGTTACTCTTCGGTATTATACATGCCAAATACATGGAAGGGGTCCTTGACACACTGTGCTCCTAGATTTTGTAGTCTGTCTCCATGAAAGTTTGACAAGAAATGAAAGCTCTACTCTTACTTTGGATCCGTTGAGATAGCA